TGGGGATGTATGGGAAAGGAAAAAATGGAAAACAGCTTAATTAATAGATTGGAGACTGGTGTTGCAGTGCTGGCCTTTAAATCAAGCATCAGTCATTCATGTATTAATCATGTTGCATAAGAAAGTCCATGAGGAGAAAATAAACATGGACCCCCCACAAAATTGTTTTTGCAGTTGCTTTTCAGATTACAGCTCCTTTCCATTAATCCCTCTTGTAGGACAAGCTCAACCAAGCTAACAGAATATGCAGCTTCCTAGCACAGCAAGAATGTTATCTGGGGGGACATATCCAGAGCAGTGCAAAGGGAGAAATTACAGGTTCAAATGCAGAGTGAGACACAACCCCTGCCCAAGGGCTTACAGTCTAAAAGGAAAAGATAGACAGAAGATTGGAGGGCAAACAGAGGGGAGGTAAAGTGACTTGTCCAAGGTCACAGAACAGCACAGGCAGGAAGAGAACTGAAATTACCAAAATTCCAGACCTGTACCCTTTTGGCTATGCCATGCTATATCCAAAAATAGCTTAAGCAAAAACATGGGCAATTAGTGCCTCCTTGAGCCGGGGGGGGGGGCATGTGCCCCCCCCAGCAGCCAGTCAGTGACGGTGGGGGAGTCCCCTTGCGGCTGATCTCGCTGACCAGGGGGGATCCCCCTGTGGCTAATCATGCCAACCGGTGGGGGGGTGTTCCCTGTGGCCAATCACGCCGACCCAGAAGCACAAGCGGGGCACCCAGAAGTGCCAGCGGTGCTCCTGGAAGTGAGCTGCCCCCCTGGTACCCCCACTCCCTGGCCAGCGCTTGCAGGGGAGGCACCAGCACTCCTGCCTGCCCCCGCTGCCCATCGCCTAAGTGGGGAGTGCTGCTGTCAGGGGGTGCACCGGCGCTCTCAGGGGGTGCATGTGCATCCCTGTGCATCCCCTACACATCGCCACAGAGCAAAAGTAAAAGATATAAATAAAAAGGATATATATTTTTTGAAAACAGAACAAGCCTCTGAGGTAGGGGTGAATCATAAATACACAAGCCTTGGACTCAAAACTGCGGTGCTAGAGAATTCTAGGTAACTAATGCAGATATTTCTCACTGTGACAGCAGAGGTCATGTGCATTCTTCACAGCAGTATTACATGAATCTTTATCTCCATTTCATCCTCTAAAGCTGAAACAGCAAGCCTGTTCCTGGAGCTCATTAGTGTGATACAGGTGTTGTCAGAGAAGACTGAGAAATATTCATGCTGCTCAGTTCTCAACCTGTTTGTTTTATAATAAATGAAGTCTGTGCTCTATTTTAAAGCAGCACCTGGAATGCTAGGTGCATAATTTTTGTGAGGTTTTTTTTTTTAACTGATATTTTTCTTTTTCATCATTTGGCCTGTGGGCACTGAATTGGGGTTCATTTACACTGATCAGCGTACGGCACAGCTGATACCCAAGGTATCATTGGTATTATTCAGCTTAAAAGACAGAACAAACATGAAATACATCCAAAGGAAACCTGATTACTACAGATTTTGCATCGCTTATTCAGTACCTGCCTACAGGTTTGCAACATTTTAATAGTCAACACATTAAGAAATAATGGCGTTTTATACCCTAAAAATCCATCACCTAATATCACCATTTGTCATAGATTTTTGTCCTCATCAAGCCCTTTCCTGGCAAAACCCCTTTGCACTGACTTTTAATCTAAAAATAAACCTAACCAGAAGGCAATTGTTTTTGTTTGGTTTGTGTTCTACAACCTTCATGGCATTTCTTAAAGTTAGGTTCTGCTCGGAAAAGTGGGACTGAGAACAAACAGCATCATGGGGTTCTAATTGTTCTTACATCTCTCTGAAGCTGTATAAAGTTTACTTATTTTATAAGAGGGACATTTTTTTCTATCAGCTTTCTAGACTCTAACTAGGATCCTGTAACAGGACCATGTCCTCAGGGGCAGCCCCAATGCTCCCTGGTAGACACGCAGTTCCTTCCCTGCTCTGGCTCTAGGGTACCCTCCCTTCCTTCCCGCTTGCCATGTCTTGATTTTCTTAAATAATTTTGAAAGGGGGACTGCCCAAGGGTCCTAGAGTGAGCTCCACTGTCCTCCTGCCAATGGATTCTTCCCTGTCTCCACTGGACCCACTACAATCCTCACACTATGTTGGCCCTCCTAGCCCATACATACCTCCAGGGCACTTCTTGCCTTATAGGTTATTCATGGTTTCCAGCCTCCTCTACAGTCATACCCATGCCTCATAAGTGTTCTGAGCAAATCAGTTTAGTGGCCAGTCACAGCCCCAATCTAATCTTGTGCCTTGGCAGACTTCAATGTCCTAGTCAATATCTGCTCCTTCTGGGCTACTGCGACCCTGGCCTCAGTATCTTCCCCTTGTGGTCTACAGGCCCCTGACCCTGGCTCTGCCTCTCTTAGGCATTAGGCCCTTGGACCTGTCTATGCCCGTTTCAGGCACTGGGTCCCTGGCCCTGTGTGTGTGTGTGTGTGTGTGTGTGTGTGTGTTTGTGTGTGTGTGTCTTTTTCCCTTACTTGCTGGGCCCCTGGCAGAGTTCTCACCCTCTCAGGGTATTCTGCAGCTTGCTCCCTGCCCCTGACCGGCTCAAACCTTATGCGCATTTCTGGCAGCAGTGGCACCTTTACAATTCCTGCTAGTCCCAACCCAAACTGCCATTCATAAGTGTAACAAAAGAATAAGCCTTCTTGGCTATAACACCAATTCCTCACTGGGTGCATCTACATGTTTATCAATGCACCATAATTACAGCACATTAAGTTTAGTATCTGTAATACCTGCCTGGCCAAGGGTAGCTCAAGAATCCATTAGGAACTCTTCTTCATCTCTTCTGCATTGGAGATCTTTCCACTACAGTCTCCAAGGTCAGACTGCCTACTCTGGCTCAGTCACTGGCTTCATGTGCTGCTCAAGCCCTCCCCACTTCTAATCAAGTATGTTCTCATGTAATGACTCAGCTTTAGACAATCACCTGAACATTTGGATGCTTATTAGACTTGAACACTCAAAACCATTTGAGGTTTAACCCTTACTATGGATTATAATTAAATCCACTACTATTTAACACATACACACATGCATACACACTGTAATTTATACTCCTCTTCCATCTAGTTTTCCGGGTAACAAAACATATTGAGGCTGGTGATGAGAGAAAATATTTTCTTTTGTAAAACGGAATAAAACACCCCATCACCATCACCAGCACATTCCCAGTGGTGATAAGATCAAAGCAGTCTAGACATTTTTGATTAAACTGTATTACTTACTGTGACAGAGCACCTTTGGTGTCTGCCACTTTAAGAACCTGAAGAGGCAACCAGCAGGTGTGACCCAGCTCTGTTGAGCAGCCATTTTAAGATTCAGGCCAGCAGAGCTGGAGGCAGCACTCTGCTGCCTAGCACCGAGGAAACAGCATCTCCTGGTGGAGCTGCTGCTTCGGTAACACTTGGAGGTAAGGCCAAGAGCACATGGGGATGGTTAGGAGGCTCTTGGTCCTGGGCATAACCTAAAACTGCACCCTGCCATGGATGGGCAGCCTGGTGGGGCTGTTCATAGTGGAACAGTCCCTCAGAAATGCCAGGCCAATTACCACCTTGGTGGAAGGTGAGTAGGGGCACCTAAACCCCAGCCCCCACCTTTTGGTGGGTCATTTAACACCAGAGGCATTGGGGGGCCAGGCACAGCTGCAGCCACCTGAGTCCATGTGGAGTGCAAGACCCTGGAGAGTGAGAATAGTGGGCCAGGCACGCTGGGGAGTGTCACCTGAGCATGTGGGGGGGGGGGGCAGTGTTTGACCCCAGGTCCCAGCATAGGGAGTGGAGTATGTGCCTCAGTGGAGACGGAGGTGTATAGCAGGGTGCAGTGGGGCACCTAATGGCCTGCACCAGAGTAATAGTTGGGAGGCCTGGAGAGAGAGGCCAGTAGTGAGGCCCTGCGAACAGGGGGCCTGAGATGAGGACCTGTGAGGAAAGGGCCAGAAGTAGGCCCCTGGCATGCAGGGAGCTTGAGGGTAGGCCCTGCTAACATGGGGGCCAAGTTAGGTCCAGGTAAGCCTTCGGGCACCTGAGGCCACAGGTGGGCCAGAGGCCGATTGGGTGGGACAGCTGAGGAATTGCCACAAGTAAACAATAGGGCAAATCAGGAGCCCCTAATTTACAGCAGCTGGGTGAGCAACCCAGTGAGTGGCCAGAGGCAGAGTCACTCCTGTGTTCTGCAAATTGCCTAGTGCTTGCTCAGATGAGGGTTGCGGGAGACCCTCAGCCAGCGCTTGCTGGCTGGGGTGTGCAGGGAAACAAGCCCCAGGACTCTCCGGGTGAGGGCAGTATGAGAGTGGCCCAGCAAAGGGGCAGTATGAGAGAGACTGCGTGAGAGGCAGTGGAGTGAGACAGGCATCAGTGACAGGGAGGCGGTATGAGTGTAGCCCGTAATAGGGAAGAAAGTGAGGGGCCTAACACTAGGATGAGTTGAGCCTGGCCTCAGGCTGGAGCAGAGCTCAGCTGTTAGGAACATCTGTGAGGCTTGGGATGCAGTACAGGGGTGGTTGGGGCTGCATATATAGGCCTAGGAGAACAGGGTGTCCAAAGGGCAGCCTCTAGCCTAATTAAGACCTTCATTTTTGAACAACAAGGCGTGGCAGGTGAGAAAGTTGGGTGGCATGCCCAGAGGCAGGTCGGGAGACTAGCACTGTGGCTGGTCAGGGAGTTCCCACTTTGCCACACTTACAATACTTTTCCTAATGAGCAACAATACTAGGCCAGTACAAAAAAATGGCCCAACTTCAGAAACACTTTGAAATCAGACACTAAAGACAGAAATAAAATGAACTCAACCCTGATACTGGGGAACATATGGAAAAGGCTGCAAAAGTCATTACATATTCAAACCATCCTAGATCTGGAATAGCTCAGTGTCACTTATCTCCTGATACAGAAACTCACCCAAACTTTGTTCTGGACCTGTCAAGTTAGGGGTTATTTTTAGTATTTTACCTGTCAAATGATGGCTTCTCTCCACAGTCAAATGCATCCTGTAACTCTTTGACAAGGTTAGCCTGGCCTGGAAGTCTAAAAAGTCCTTCTTCTTTCAGGCCCTGCAGTCGGATAAAATCCACACATTGCTCCACCAACATGGGAGCCAGACGGTTCCCATACCTCTTCTCATATTGTACCGTGTCTTCCAGCTTCTGTCCAAAAATACCTACGTGTAATAAAGAGAGATAAGAGTGTGTTGAGGAAAGGATGTCGTTGGAAGGGACATAACAAGGACTACAGATCCCTTCAATATACAGGGAAAGAGGAATTACAAATCTTCAGGCTTATGGATAAAATTCTCAATTTCACACTAGCTGTATTGTACCATGGTGGTCCCAAACACTACCTTCAAATCATAAGAGGAAGAAAATGTATATGGTATGTAAATGTATATAGTAATTTTATGACACTAAAGCTTTGAATTTAAGTGGAAAATTATGCACATCTTCACTTGTAGGGCTAGGAGAAAATACACATGAACACAGAGATGGCCTCTATATCTGAGATAGCCTCAGAAATGCCTGCATGATTTACAAGTTTTCAATGACTTTCCAAGATGTAAAGCAGCTCCTACTGATTTCAGCTAGAGTTGTGATTATTCAGTAGCTCAATTGATGTGCGCATGCGCACACACACATACACAGATAATCTCTTTCTATAATTCATTACAAGATGAAAAATTACTTTGTTTCTTAGTAACAAGAAAATGTGCATGTGAGGAAAAAAAGGTGGTTGTTCTGGTAGCAAAATATGCCACATGTGTGTACTGCAGGGGTTTAGGTTGTAGCCGTTTTGGTCTAAGGACATAGGCAGACAAGGTTCCACTAAAATGGCCCCACAGTATGCCAACATTTTCTGCCTTCCCTTTCCTACTTTTAGATACCTCAGACAATAGCAAAACTGCTGTCTTTAGAAATTATGAAGAACAGAAAAATGCATCTCTCGATACACTTGAGAAGGGCAGGGTACCATATGGTAGGAGGTTTATGACAATTTATTGCATACAGAGCCACATGTGCTCTCAGTTACATGTGGTATAAATTTAAGTAACTCTTCTAGGCTGGACTGAGCTAGCTTCCACCTGCAGGGTGCATAATCCAAACATACAGGGTCTAGGTAGCAGAAAAACTGTCCTAAGGAGTAGCAGTTGGGTAAAACTTCTTAAGTCCCACTCTACCATGGATCTTAATGCTGGCAAGAAAGCCCCAAATGTAGGATATGCTGGCTCGGGAGGGTACAATCAGATGCAGACAGTATGGAGTCCAAGCCACATGTTAAATTTTCTCTTGCAAAGTGGAATTCCCATTGTACTAAACAATGTTTGCTTGCCTTGAGGGTGAATCCCCCGAAACAGAGGATGCAAATTGCATTCCCATCCTACCAGTAGGGCTAAAAACCAAGCCTTTTGACCTCATGAAGATTCCTCCAGATTTATAACGGGTACAACAAAATATAACCTGATCCTGAACAGTTTAAAATACAACTTGCAAAGTTTAAAATAAAATTTGCAACAGGAGCATCCTCTGATCTGCCACGTATGAGATTTGGATTTGGGAATCAGCTTTTTGGGTTCTATATCACAGTGAAACAAAGGCCAAACAGGGAAAAGTTCTGGACTCACAGTAAAGGATATCTGAGTGAGAATTTCCACAGGCCTGACTCTTTACAGTAAGAGATGCAATCATACTGTAGATGTGAGATCAAACGTATCAGACCAAACACATCAAATATTAGGCCTGTCAAGTATCATGTGAAACCACTTAGATACATGGAATCTGATGGGCCCTTTGAGGTTCCATTTCTTATACCAGTCTAACATCCTGCTCCATTAGCCCACAGAATGTACAACTTTCTTACCAAAATAAGCTAACTGCTGATGACCTAGACCCTTATCTGGAATAAATGGCATCATTTGTATTTTAAAGAAACCTAACTAAGGGCACAGGAAAGAACTGTAGCAGAAAGCCCCCTTTTCCTCTTGCCTGCATTTGCTCTCCCCTCTCCTCTCTTTTTCTACCTTTTCTTCCTTCCTCTCTCTTTCACTTTAAGATAATGAATTGTGTTTTAAAATTTGTATGTGTGCATTTTGTATCTCCCCTTGTAGTTTGGTATTTTTATCTATTTGTGTGCCATGGCATTTGTAGCTTATATTTTATTCTCCTCACCTTTCAACTTTCAACTAAATGTGTTTTAGTAAGTTATACATTGTAACAATGTTAACAAGGGCAGGAATCAAACTGCCCTTCCCTGTATCAGGCTGGCTGCTAAAAGAGCGAGTGAATCAGTGGTTGAATGTGTAACATGGTAGCAGGCAGCAATTAACACCTGGGAAACTGCAGATCAACCAACGGAAGAACTCAATAGAAGACAATGTAACAACCGGGAAATCTCTAAATGTCACTAATCAAGGGCTAGAAGCCCTGGTCTGAGTTAATCAA